GATAGGAAGAAAATCAATGCATTTGAGATGTGGTGCTGGAGAAGAGTTGAGGATCCCATGGACAGCCAAAAGGATGAACAAGTGAGTCTTAGAGCAGATCAAACTGGAAACCTCCCTGGAAGCCAAGATGACCAAACTGAGACGTTCATACTTCAGACATATCATGAGTAGAAGGGACTCCTTGGAAAAACCAATAATGCTGGGGAAGGTGGAGGGAAGTAGGAAGAGAGGAAGGCTACATGCTAGATGAATGAACTCTATTAAGGAGGTCACGGGTATGGGTTTGCAGGAATTAAGCAGAGCATTGGAGATGTCTCATCTATAAGGTCACCATGAGTCGATATCAACTTGAGGGAAGTTAACAACAACAACAAAGCTCTATGAACCCTTGTCTGCTACGGTCTTAGTCCATCACTGAAGCAACGATACCAGGTAACACTGTTAGCCTTACTATCACAGAAATAAATCTGTATACCAGATGGAATGCTGATCTGCAGTTGCTGGACTGGTATCTTTTGCTGCAAGGATTAGAAATCTCTTTCAGACTAAGGCCAAACTCAACTTTCAGAGACATTTTCAGGGGATATTCCAGTGATAGGCAGGCCAAAGGCAAGAGGGTGAGATAAAAACTACCAGCGTATTTTATCTTAAGGCTTTTACTGATAGTAGCAAAGCATTTGGTGAGACATTTCAACCTTTTAGGGCATTTCCAGATTGTACCTGCACTGCACCCTGTTTATCAAAGCTTTTCAAGGGATCAATATGGCACTGTCTTCAGTTTGCAACCATCCTAAGTTTTCTCTTTGTTTCTTCCATTTTATTGTTTCTTACTGGAGAATAGCTGTTCAGGACAAAGAAGATATAATAGCTTTGCAGTGTCTTTTAATGGTGAACAGTAGGAGTGTTCAATGTAGAACACTCTACAATGAGAAAGCATCAATACAAAAGTTGGAAAAGCAACGAATGAAGGCAAAGACGACAGGAACCAGATTGGATTCTAAGGGGACTGGATTTTAGCACCATGATACGAAGTTCTCTGGCCCTGCATTACTGGATCATGGGCCAACCTAAGATGGATCACACCATGGAATCATACAGTGTGCTGGACTAGAGCTCCCAACATGCAGCTTATAGCCAAGAAGAAGAGTGATGGGAATTGTACTCTAAATATGTCACATATTGCCTATATCTCATGCCTATCCTCTATTTTTTTAATTTAATTTTTTATTATTCATCTTTTCTGCTTTCACAAGCCTTTATTAGCTGATTGCAAGGGCTTTTAATGGTGTGTTGTTTTACTGGCTTTTCCCCGTTTCTGTTTTTATGTGTTTTTTTTAAATAAAGAATTTATTTCTGTAGATAGTTCCATTATATGATTTTATTTATACCTTTCTATGCACTTTAATTTGTATTCATGTATTTTCATTTTATAGACCATCTTAAGGCCTAGTTTTGAGGAAGAGGCAGGATATAAATCAACAAGAAATATTTGTATGATAAATATAATGGTATTTGATTTAGCAAAACAAAACAAAACAAAAAACCTCAAACAAGCCCCTAAGTAATTTTAATTTTAGTTTTCACA